CCTCCCGCGCATACCGTTCTAGCCCTCTAGGGGATCCGAACTCTATCTCCATCATACATACTCGATCCCGGCCTGCTCCCATGCCTTCCACAATCAATTGCTCTAGGTCTATATTCCGCCCCGCACGCCTGTTACTCACCCATACGAGCCTGCTCTCGGCTGATAGAAATACCGCTGAATTTCCCCAAGCAGCTAAACAACCTCTCAGTCCCAACGACCATCCGGAGAATTTCCAATTCTCCACCACTTAAGACACTGATTAACAACCACCGGTCGCCATCACCGACCTTCCAGAAGAACCCTGCACAAAGAGAACACTTACACGCGGACTGCTTCCCACAAGCATAAACAACCTTAACGAGATCTCATATCCACACTGGTTAACCCACTCGAAAGAAACTCAACTGTATCTATACACTCCTCGGAAAGCCGATGCTACCCGACCTTCAACCCAATGTTGCATCTCCACTAATAACCCTCACGAATGATAACCAACGAAAGCACAAACACCAAACTATGACCATGCCAAACCCTCAAGGAACAACGGATACCAAGACGAAAACCCGAATCACAAATCCATAACCAACCAATGAAACCAACAGATAACAATACTCCACAAAAATCATAAATAATCAAAAACAGCAGGAAGAACATACCCGCAGCAGCAAGCTGAAAAAAAAAAACACGACCCTAAGCCCTTGGGGGCTCCGCTCCACCCTGATCTCCACCTGTAATCCTCAATGTAGTCGGTGCTGGAGCCTGCACCAATCCTGCAGCAAGCCGTGGACAGTTGACCTTTAAATGTCCAACCTGATGACAATGATAGTATATCCTCAAATCCCGAACCGGCACTGACTGCCGACAATCCCTCGCATAGTGTCCCTCCTTTCCGCACTTGCGGCATGCTCCACCGGATGGACAAACCCCGGCGTGACCCCTTCCACACTTTCCACAGACGTGGCTACCCTGATCTCCCATCCTGGAATCAACGGTCTTAGACCGTTTCGTCGTCGGCTGCGACTGAACCGGAGCTTGCCTCAGCTCACGCATCTGCAACTCAATCTCTAAGTCACACCGCCTGGCGGCGTCCTGCAACTCCAGCAAAGTCTCGCACCTCTGCGCAGACACAAACTGTCTGATGTCTCTCTTTAGCATACTCAGATATCGGGACATCTGAGCCTGCTCCGAAGTGGACTCAGGGCAAAACATCGCCCTCTCAGTAAACATCCTGGTGATTTCTGTCACCGATTCCGAATCCTGTTTCAGCTCCAAGAACTCCTGAGCCAACCTCTCCCTCTCGACCTGCGGAACATAACTAGTGCTGAACATCTCCTTGAACCGTTCCATGAAATCGCAGCCCTCTGCGCATCCGAGTACGACCCCGTGGTCAATCTCCACCAATCCTTTGCCCCGAGCCTTAACAGATTCAGAGCACACCTCACCTTCTGATCAGCAGGGCATGAACACGTGAAGAAACATCCCTCCACATCTGATAACCATCTCATAGCAACGATCGGATCCTGAACTCCATCAAAAGTGGGAGGCTCCGTATTATCGAAATCCAGATACTGAAAATCCCTATCAGCTCCTCCCCCTACTGCTGCTACAACCACTGTAGCCTCCGCGGCAGCCGTCTCCGCGAGAGCCGCATAACGCTCATCAAAATACTCAACCATGGCGGTCTTGATCGACCCAAACAACTCCGGCAGCTCAGCCCGAAACAATGCAGCAACCTCATAATGCAGGATATCACGAATCCTCGCATCCAACTCGTGCGTACTCATCTGACTGACAACCTCGGGTTGTACAGACCCACCCGGAACTCCTTCTCCTGCTCCTGATCCTGACCCGGATCCACTCCCAGCGTGCCCTGAAATCTTCATACTGAAAATAAAACACCAAAATCTCAGACATATTCCACTATCCCGGGAACCAGCTCTCATCCCAACCCTAGAGGTCATGGTTTCCTTGATACGCGTATGAGTCCGTGCTTTCAGTAGTACGGGCCCATAGTACCTTCCACACCTACCCATATTTGTATGAAGTACTTCCACAACACTCTAGCGACATACATAACAACGCTCCATCCTCACAACTAGAGGAACACTAGAAATCTCTCACAAGGAACCCTAGGCTAACAGGCATCATAAATCAGGAAACTCATCAAGAAATCCTGAAGATCCCTAGCCTAACTCTAGCATGCTGTTCTATCAAAGCTTCAAGAAAACAATTGTCATGTATGGTATTTTGGGGTTACTTACTGGCTCCGGCTGATCGTACCTCCGCGTCCTCCTTTACTTATTTTGAAAACCATTTTAAATTCTCTTTTGAAAACCCTCCTCGATTTGAGACTGGAGTCACACAAGTGTTCCTCCAATTCACTCAAACCAAGGCTCTGATACCAACTTGTAACGTCCGAAAAATACAACCAATTAAAATTTTTTTTTCAAAACAACCTAATTTTCACTAAATTGTTTACAAAAAGGTTTTCAATACAAATCATTTAGAGTATTCCCAGAATCACATTGCTACAAAATCATGAGGAGCGGTACGATTGCGCCTTCACCTTGCCACGGTCTCCTAAAGCACCTGAAAAACATTAAACCACAACTGTAAGCCCGAAAGCTTAGTGAGATACCCCCAAAATACCAACCACGTATACGCCCTTCCAGGCCACAACCTTTCGGTCCAAACATATCGCCTTCCGGCCCGTTGCGTAATGCCTTCCGGCCCATAACACATTGCCTTCCGGCCCATAACATATCGCCTTCCGGCCCGCAACGTAAAAGCATATATATATATATATATATATATATATATATATATATATATATATATATATATATATATATATATATATCATGACAGAACATAGAACAACCGTGCATACCGGGTTACACTCCAGACCAGACGACCATACACATAACATGTAATCATATAGCAGTTCACAGTTAGCAAATCGATCAACAGATCACATAACATATCATTACCCTAATCAAGATACCAGCCTAGCCGATCACTAGCATAACATCACCCTACGACTTAGCCAACATACTAATTATGCACATACGCCTTTCCAAGCCATGACCTTCCGGTCCATACCGCATTGCCTTCCAGCCCGCAACATGTAATGCCTTCCGACCCATATCCCGCAATATCATACAACAGACAATTACCCGGATTTCCATCCGATAAAAGGGTCGGCCTTGGTGCCTTAAACCCTATATATATAGTGAGGATAACTCACCTCGAAACTGCTAGCTGAAAGGACAAGATCCCGCTGCTCCGAACTCTGACACGAACTCCTCCACTGAACATCAAAACATATAACTCAATAAATACCCTTAATTACCAAAATATCCCTGAAAGACAACTGGTCAACCCTGGACAAGTCAAAGTCAACCCCTAACTAACCCTACTCGCTGAGTCCTTATGCTCAGAACTTCCCTCAATTAGCGACCCAACTCGCCGAGTCACCCCAAGACTCGTCGAGTCCAACAACTCTGAGTCCACTCGCACCCAACTCACCGAGCCATCCCTTGACTCACCGATTCATCGACTCAACCAGAAATATTGGGACTTCCTCGACAAGACTCGCCGAGTCCAAATGGACTCGTCGAGTCCAAGGCTATCTTCAACCTACCCGCCGAGTTGTTCTTCCAACTCGTCGAGTTCCCGGCCATCTTCAAGCAACTCGTCGAGTCCACCCATGTGACTCGTCGAGTACCACCAGTCTGAATCCATACAGAAGCATCTCAGGCCATGCAATTGATCCAAAACATAGATCCAACCTCCTACAATCCATCCATCACGTAAAGTGGCAAACTTTACGTGAATCTAAAGAGATCTAGGCCTTATTCACCTTAGAACCAAGGTTTGGGACATGGTAGCTCCATTAACAACACAAGAACAGGGGCTTTAATGCTCTTAAGATCTTCTCCACTCCAGATCTAAGGTAGCAACCTCAAATCTATCCTCCAACATCAAGATGCCACACAACCAAGCACCCCACACAACCCCAAAATGAGAAACTAGGAAAACACAGCCCAAGAATGAAAGTATTACCTCTAAAAGATGCCTCAATAGCAATGAAACTCGAATCCAAGCAAAGCCCTTTGAGCCAAGCCACTTCTCCTTCAAGATTTCTTCAGCCAACACCTCTCCAAGCTCTAATTTGCTCAATAATGGGACTCTCCACGAATTTAGGGTTTCTGGGACTCAAGGGGGGAATAAGGGAGGCTGTGGAGGGGCATAATGCTCTTTATATAGGGCTCAACCCCGAAAATTAGGGTTTTCTCCATACAGCACCTACTCGTCGAGTCCATCTTTGGACTCGCCGAGTAGGCCACTTGACACGCAACCATAGTCGCGACCTGACTCGCCGAGTCTATCCATGGACTCGCCAAGTCACCCTCCGAAACTTACACTTTTAGCCCTTCAACTCTACTCTTGCGATTCCGGGATGTTACACAATCTTTAGCAATTGAAGTTATATATAGTGGAGAAGATTCATCCATCCTCCCGTCTGAACTTTGAGGTATACTTTTGAAAATTTTATATTTATGCTTATGAATGCCAAAATTCAGCAAAAATTTAGGACTAGATCACCCCTAGTGGAGTCGATCTGAATTAGGCCCACTAACAACAACACTACGGTGGCGTCTTAGGGATAAAGGCAGTGAAGGCCCATGGTTCTTGAGAAGTACAATCCCTTGTCTTGCTGCTTCCAGGGAAAGCTCCTGATTGCTTTGGGTACACACATCCCTTGGCCCAAGCTTACCAAACACATCATCACCCTGATCCGTCAAACATCCCTAGTCTCATTTGAACTGTAAGGGTGTTTACTAATGCACTGTCCACGTCAATCTCCTTCAACAGACCTCAATCCATTGTACCATGTGTGTGGATTCCTAGGAATGGACCACAGTCCAAATCCAAACCTAATAAATTAAACACAAGAAGAAAAAATATTGTATATTATATAAGTTTATTATTTTTACTTATTTATGAAAACTAAAATATTTTGATGCTTTGATTGCATCTGCAGCAGCTTCTTCAGGGGTGACAGTGTAGTGTTGATTATCAAAGAATACTCCAACAGAGTCGCAATCTGAAACAATGTACCCATTGAGTCCCCAAGCCCCACGAATGGTGTCATAAAGAAGTCTAGGGTTAGCACAGGTTGGAATCCCGTTGACTTGATTGTAAGAGCACGTAACACTTGCCACCTTCCCTTGCATCACACATTCTCTAAATGGTACTTCAAATGTATCTTTCATTTCCTACTTGCTTACCTGCTCCATTCACACTCATTCATTATTTCATATTCAAATATATATAAATCTATTTTACTCTCCAGCATGGTATTCTGTAATCTATCATATATATATATATATATATATATATATATATATATATATATATATATATATATATTGGGTGTCGACTCAAGAACCAATTATCATCACACCCACCGAGGCAATCATTAATTATTGATTCAAGATAGAGTGATTGCCACTGTCAATGCACCTATTTCCAAAATAAGAATATCAATCACAGTTTGGGTCTCTCACTCTAAGATCGATCATACTCATACCAATTATAATAAAATTATTGAAAGTAACAACGTGTTTAACTTTGGCATTAAAATGGAAGTGATCGACCCTACTCCAGTTATCAAGATCATAGGCAGTGTAGTGCTTGCAACACGCAGCCACCTTGAGGCGGTCACCTGGGAGGTTTCCCTCCAGTTCTCAGAAGTTCCAAGAAGTCTAGAATGGAACATTACCTGAAAGAATTGTTTTCAAACTTAATGAGGAAACAATATCTATGATATACATGATCATAAGATTTAAAATGTTTTATTTGCGAACGTAATGAAATAATACCAAAATGGTCAAGTACTTGAAGAAAAAGAACTTACAGTATGAAAGGGTACATTATCTTTTCCCATAAACTGATACAACTCCACAGTTTCAGGATTCTTCCACCACTTCTCCCACTCAGGTGTGTATCATGAAGTGATTGAGACATACCCGATTGGTGCATCAAACCAAACAAAGAAAACCTAAACATTACACACAGTGGAACAAATTGTAAAACTATACTTATATGTGAGACATAAGATGGAGGTCTCATTTTGACTTTATAATAGAGAGAGAGAGAGAGAGAGAGAGAGAACTCATTTCACTCACTTTATCATTGAATCTCTCATGAGGAACAGGAAACCCCCCCCCCCCCCCCACTTCAAATGTTTAGTAATACATCGTTGCTTTAATCCTGTTTTAAGCCATGCATTTGCTGCTTGAGTAGCATTCTGACTCCATGATCCAGCCACTGACATTTTTTGATGTACTCTTCGAGTCTACCCTCCAACAATGGAAGCTCAAGAAACAAGTGATTTGTGTCACGGATATGAGGACTAGATGCACAGAGCTAATTGCATACCAAAGTTTGGAGACGTGAAAAGGAATAGAAAGCAAAAAATGTACAAAAGGATTTTGTTTTGATTTATTCACTACATGAAACTTAGAACTTGTTTTCTTATTCACTACATGAAACTTAGACATGAAAAGGAATAGAAAGCAAAATACTGCTAACACTGGTTTGCTGAAAGTTTCGGTTTCCAAATTCAAAATTGGGATAACCTCCTAAAATATGTGAGAAACAGAGGGGAAGTTATAGAGGTTGGAATATTTTCAGAAATCCAGTTGGATCGTTCCTGAATTATGCATATAAATCAAGAAAACATTCAAAAATATCATTAAGATAGGGAATTAGGGTTCTTTCTGAAGAGGCGAGTTAGGGTTACTTTGAGGAAATTGGGGAAGTTAGGGTTAATGAGTGATTTGTGCATCACCGGTAAGAAAAAAAAGAGGAATTTGCAGATAAAATAATGAAATTCGGATAAATGCAGATCGACATACCTTATTCATTAAAAAAAGGTCCGATCCATAGAAAGAAAGAAACCCCACAATAGCCAAGAAGATAAACACAAGAACAAGCTTCGACCACTACCAAAGAGAGCACCAAAAGCCACCACCAACACTACTACAGCTCCTCGACGACGAGGAAGAAGAAGGCAGTGAACAACAACTGCCACCGCCGCGGACATTACCACCGCCCAACCCTTCCGGTTCTTTCAAAATTACGTAATCATCCTTGGGATCTTCAATCATGATCTTCAAAAGGGTGACTACATATGCTTCCTCATACGTTAAAAGGGTAACTACATCTGGAAGTAGCCGTTAAAACTGGTCGGATTAAATTGTGAATTATCTTATATAGATGGAAGAATCAGAAAACAAAACAATCAATGATGGTTGAAGTGCGAATGGCAAGCAACGATGGTTGAAGTGCGAGGGAAGAAGCAGGCGGCACTCAATGTTGGGAGGGGAAAGGAAGAGCGTCGATAATTAGGGCAAGAGGGAAAGGAGAAAAAAGGAAGGCGGGGTTTTTAATTTTTTATGATTTCATTTCCCCTCTACAATTAGAGGATGGAACGCGTGTTTCCATTAAAATTTATAAAGCGATACCTTTAGACGACACACGTTTTATTATGGGCGCCTTCCGTGTTTTTTTTAGACACTAATTTAAGATCACGTAAAAATGCGCGTCCTAAATTCTTAAAACTTATACAGAGATGACAGTATTTTTAGTTCACACACTTTTGCGTATCGTAAATCAATACGTATCATAAATTGCGCATCGTAAAATGCTGTTTTTCTAGTAGTGATCTATACAAACTTTCCCGTGCAGTTCTTTTGGACATTCTCATATAGTCGTCCATGGTGTTGCATCTCCCCCATAGCCATCAAACGAATGGCCGCAACACATTTATGCAACGTTGTAAATCCTCGCCTACCTCTAGCATCACGTCAGAACTGGAAAATGTATACCTAAACATATATTAACTATGGTTTAAAAATGTAGTACATTTGTATTAAAACTAAAGAAACATGTGGTACATTTGTATTTAAGATTAAAGAAACAACATCGGCTTTCCAAGGCATTCCTAATCCGTAGGAACACATTCCTACTCAAACAAAATCTTCTTTTGAAGTCATTCGTATACACAATTATTCGAAAAATAATAACATCGCACGTCTTGTTAGTAGCGGAGCTGGATCTGATTGTAGCATCTTGTTAGTGTAATAATGGTACATCATAGTGAAGAATATATCGTCACCGTCATCATCGGACGAGTCGAAAGGTTCCATAATCTTTTTGAAGATAATTAAAATTGTAGAGAGAAAGATAGAAATTGTGTGAAAAAATTGTAAATAGATATTAGGTATTTATAGGTAAAAATAATTAATTTTTTTAATGTTATTTTTTTATTATTAAATTGGGTTGTTGTGAAACGGTTCAAACTGTCAAAATTTTCTTGTTTCATCCGGTCAAGACGACAACGAGATGCACCGCGACGAGATACAACGAGAAGGGGTGTATTCATCTCATTATGATGTCGTTGAGGCCCTTCCACGTTGGGCATAACACCGATTTTGTGGCCATACCACATCGTCTTAGTTGAGATTGCCAATGACCATTTATGAGATTGCATTTAAGAACTCCCCCCTCCCCATGTGGATTTGCATTTAAGAACACCCCCCCCCCCCCTCACCATGTGGATTTGAGGTATCACACTTGAGGTACTAAGCTCTTGGAAGACTAAGTTCTACAAGCTACAACAAAGAGGTATTCATCTAACTTGTATTATGTTGCAAATCTCTAAATTGTATGCTAGTTAGGGTTCATGCTTTGGAAAAACGAAAATTGCATGTATAACTTGAGAAAACTTAGATCCAAAGCATTAGGGTTGTATGTGCACCATAGGATTGTTATAGTGCTCAAAACCCATCTTTTTGTGTTTTGTATTGATATGGTTCTTGGTGAATCTCCGATAGCCAAGGCACCATATTGGTTAGCACCGCAAGAGATGCAGGATTTGTATACATAACTGTAGGAGCTATTAGAAAATAGGTTTATTATTTCGATTAGTTCACCATGGGGAGCACCAATACTGTTTGTGAGGTAGAAATATGTCTCCTATAGGATGTACATCAACTACAAGGAGTTGAACAAGTTAATGGTGAAGAACTGATATCTTCTCCCGAGACTGTTGAGGCGATGACTTGGGATGATTTTGTGACGAGATTTGATATGTGCATAATTAGTCATATATTTTGTGTTAAATCTTAATACTTTTGGCTATTTTATTGCAAATTATGAACAAAAGGTACTTAAATATGTTTAAAATGTATTTGTAGCCTAAAAGATGGGCTCGGAAGCAAAAGGAAGCAGAAAAATCGATAGGAAGCTCGGGAATTGAAGAAAGAAAAAAAGAAAGAAAAAAACCCTGAAGAACTCGGCACGTTGGGTGCCTACTCACCGAGTAGGTTCGATGATTCGCGAACAAATAAAATGCCTTGCCCCATACGAATTTCAAGTGGGGGACTCGCCGAGTCGGTCTATGGACTCGACGAGTAGCCCCTGTTTTCAGAAACTATATTAAGGGCTTTAATTTCCGAATTTGGGACTTCTCTCTGGAACCCTTGAAGGTTAATTTGCAATTCAAGTTGCTGCTGGAGCTCTGGATCTTGAAGATCAAGTCTAAGCATTCGATTTTGGGGAGATCAAGGCAAATCAAATGTACTCTTTATTTAATCTTTTGTTTAAACTATGTTTGCATCAATTGATTTCATTTTTTTGTTGTTTTCAGGTTTAATTATGAGCTAAAAACTCATAACTTCTGTTTAGGAGAGATGAATTTATGAAAATGGTTTAATTTTATCATTGGATTAATTTAATTTGGTAATTTTGTTTTGTTAAGCTTGTAAAAGAACCTTATGTGTTAATTACAACTATTTTATGTTAATCAACTAGCATATAAAGTTGCATGAACATCTCTTAATTGCTAATCTCATATGATTTGTGCGAAAACATTGTTATATGCCTAGGAATAGCGAACGTGAAATGAGGGTTAATTAGAAAATATGTAAATTAATGTGTGAGCTTGTGTCACGAACCATCAACAAGAGGTTAACTGAATTAGCAATTTGATTAGCTACTACAACTCTTACTTAACTCGAATCAATAAACTAGGAAATCTATTAGTATAATCACTTGGCCACTCTTTAAATTAATTTGTATTCTAAGGATTAGTAATAGCGAACGTGAACCTAATCACACTAATTGGTAGCCAATGCCAATTAATCGATTACACTTTTCATAAAATCAACCATAGGAATAAATGATTCAAAACATAAACATAAGTCTTTTCTATTATTGAATTTAGTTGATTTTCGTTTGCTTAGTTGTTAGTTTCTTAGTTGAGTATTAGTTAAGTACTTAAGTTTCTAGTCGTACAAAACTAGAGAAAACCCTTTCTTTCCGTTACTTGTTTTATTTAGATAATATTAGCATTTATTTTAATTGTTTACCCTTTCATGTGTTTGATAACCTACTTGCTTGAACTATATTACTAATAGATAGGTACACTGCCTTTCGTGTGTTTATTTTGTGTCTAAGTTAGTATGATTAAAACTGGTGCATTTCACACGCATCAAATTTTTGGCGCCGTAGTCGGGGAACGGTTCTAAATAGTTAATTTTATTTGCTAATTGTTATCATTTTTATTTTATTTGTTGATTAAACTTTTTTATATAGTTTAATTTTTATTTTTATTTTTATTATGTATTTTCCAAATCTCAATGATTTTGATGCTTTTCTTGAGGAAGTAGTATAGAAAATTGAGCAAGAAGATGAGAAGTATGACTGAGATGAAGATTTGATGAAATTAGGAAGATGGTTAGAAAACATCTTGTCTAACTAAAAAGAAAAATCTGAGTCACAAGAGCTAAAGTTACTAGATGAAGAATTTAATCTAGAAAAAGACTTTGAGGAGCTAGAAAGATTGTTGGTAGAGGGTCAGACGAAGAACAAGAACAAGTTGTGTTGCAGGAACCAAGCCGTGGATTGACCATTACCACAACGTGACCCCCTGTATTTACAGTTTGTGTTTTGAAGCATGGGGTGACGATTCCAACTATGGATAAAGTTCTGAAGCACGATCCATTTCTGATTAGTACCTGACCGGTTCCAACCCTTGTCAAGATTCTTGGGTTACATGAATTAAAGATTGTTTGGCCAGTTTTTGAAGCAAAGAGCCAAATTTTACGAATTGGTCCAAAAACGATAATTAATGCAATGGATGGTTTGACATTGAGTTTATTGGAAGTTTATTAAGTTGGGAGTCCAACTCAAGACTCGCACAAAAAAAGCGCTTTCAGGAGGCAACCCGATATCTAGAGTTTGCTTTCTTTTTATTTTTTGTTTTGCTTGATTTAATCTTATTTAGTTCGGTTAAAGATAATTTTTATTTTTGTTTGTTTTGATTGTTTTATTTTGAACTTATGGTACCTACGATTATGTAGGATGTCTTTGTTTTCTATCACTTGTGTTTGCTTTGATCAGTTTTAGGCTTAGGATTGCATGTGAGGGTATAGAGTCAAGGCTAACCAAGCAAGAAGTCGAGTTTAGGCAAGAGAGAAAACGAAGTATTGAGTCAAGTTATGAGTACGATTGATGCAAGAGTTATAGAGTATTTTTTACTGAAGAAAAATGAGGGAAAGTATTAGTTTATATTACTCCTATACATCAGAAACGGACCTGGGCAGAATACAAATTTTTTCCACAGTGATCTACTCGTCGAGTGCATCTTATGAACTCAACGAGTGCATGTGAAATTTCATGACTTTTCTGCCAGTCACGCTACAACTCAGCGAGTTAGCATATCTACTCGACAAGTCACTCGTTAATTCTATTTTCAAGTTCACAATTTGAGTACATTTGATACGGGCATTGGTTCTTTTCTTTTGAGATCATTTTGCGAGCATTTCCAAGAGTTTTTCCCTTATAATTGTAGCTGTACCACACGATATTTTGATACCCAAGACATGGATGAGTTGTTCCCATGTCTAAAGACAATTGAAGATGGAGCTTAAAGACGAAAGATCAACTTCGCACTACTATCCCAGGGAAGTTTGTTCAAATTCTCTCTTTATTTTATTATTCTTTATCATGCATAATATGAAATGGGGACATTGCATAAATTAAGCATGGGGTACGGGGTTGGTTACATTAGTTTAACTTTTAGTTAAATTTTAAAAAAATAGCA